CTATCCTCGGGTGGATCCCGTCTGGCCCCATAGACTTGTGAGCATTCAGGTGGAGGAGCAGGTCAGTGACTGCCACCAACTGGGGCTTCATTCTGCTTCCTGTCTCCATCTCCCAGCTCAGGGGCCTGAAAACTCCAAGGATGACCAGTCTGACTATTAAAGACTGAGGCAAAGAAGGCATTAAGGACCTCAGCTTTCTCCTCATCCTTCGTGGCAATGTTTCCCTCCACATCCAACAAAGGATGGAGATTCTCCTTGGCCCTCCTTTTGTCACTGATGTATTTGTAAAAACTCATTAGTCCTTTCTTAGTATCAATTACAACAGTAATTTCCTAAAGTTAGGTTGGACTTCTGTTGGTGGGCCTTGTATGTATGCTGCACTCAGTCAGATTCTGATAGTACTGGTTAACTTGAAAGCCATTATTTTTGTCTTCGACTTCAAAAAGCAAATATTAAGATTTATAACACGTAGTGAAATGAGTCAGACATTTTGCACATGTGTTCTCTCATTTATCACTCCTGTAGCTGATTCAATTTTGACACTAATTAGTGTTACTGAATCAGTAACTCCATAAATATTCCTTTCTGATTCCTTGCTATTTTTGTGACGATCACTGAAATCACTAAGGAACAAAGAACATTTGTCTGAAAGAATCCACATGTATCTGCATGTGCAAAGTCTGCATTAAGTCACTAACAAGAGTAAGCCCACTGCAATTTTAACAGCTTTTCTGGTTAAATTACAAAAGATGAAGGTTATATCCTTGCAAAGCACAGGAAAGATCATATATACAATTTGAAAGGAATACATCTCTTGGAATCTGAGATCAGTTCTTAACCCAAACAACAGATGTAGTTGAGTTTAACTTAGTTGGAAATGAAAACCATAGCCCCTTGCCCTTTGGGTGTTAAATAAGTTCTTTGGCACTCACCTGTTGTAACCATTCAAAGAAAATGCACCCTGTGGAGATGCAGATGTGCTGCTCTTAAAATAGTAAATACATCCCTCATGGATAATCACAAATCTCAATGGCCCTGAAAAGATAAAGAAAAAAAAAGTGAGCAAAATATAAATTCAAAGGCAGTACATTAACTAGAACCTCTTAACTTGGGAAGTATTGTTTAAGATTTTAGTAATCTTATTAATCATTATAAAAGAGCACAAACTAGTTAAGTCACAGCTTGTTGATGACCAGCCGCATGGTAAAGCTGTCCATTCACAGAGCTTCAGGCCTAGGGGTAGTATTTGCTTCCCTCATTTGAGAGGCAGCTGATCTGCTAACTTCAAAAGAAGCCTAAGAGACTGCAGGTCTGACCTCCACCTGTGCTCCTTTACTACAGTGTTATGGTTTAACCCCAGTCAGCAACTAAGCACCACAGAGCCGCTCACTCACCGTCCCCCCTAGCAGGCTGGGGGAGAGAATTGGAAGGGGAAAGGGAAAAGAAAAAAGAAAAAAAAAAAAAAAAAGCATAAGTTGAGATAAAGACAATTTAATAGGACAGCAAAAAAAAATAATAAAATAAAAAAATAAAAAAAGCTTCTTGGGCACCGGGCAGAGCATGGGAAGCTGAACAGTCCTTGACCAGTGTGAGCACTACTTAGCAACAACTAAAACATCAGTACGTTATCAACATTATTCTCATCCTAAATCCAAAACACAGCACTATGCCAGCTACTAGGAAGGAAATTAACTCTATCCCAGCCAAAACCAGGACGCAGAGGAATAACGTAAGAATGCAACCTAAAACAAAATGGGAGAAAGGTGGCCAAAGGCTACAAATACATATTTATGTCCATCCCAAAACCATGACGGTATCTCCATCTCTTCTTTCACTTCAAGTACATAAAGATGCCAATCAAATGAGGTTATTTTCTTTTTTTAAAGGGGCCAACATTCCTTCTGTTATCAAAGGCAGTAATCTTTGTCCTTTACTATATAAGTATAGTTTAGTTATAAACAGGGATAGCAAATGAATAGCATATAAATGAACCCAAAATCTTAAGTTTTCTCCATGTAAATAGATTCTGATTCCAGAAGCAATTACTGTTTTTAAGTACAGCCTAATGTTGGCAGTGAGAAAATTTCCATTTCACAACAGCAGTAGGAGATGGGGATATTTTTCCAGTACAGAATAACCAACTGGAAAAAAAGCTGAGTACTAATTTCTTTTAGAAGAGAATATTTGAAATTGATACATATCCCGGGAATCCGTTTCTGTCTTTAAAATCTTACTTGTGAAGGACTAGACAAGAGATTTAACCAAGGAAGAGAAAATTGACCATGACATTCATCACCTAAGATTTACAGTTCCAAAACAATTAAAGGAAATTCTTTCAATATGGGTCATTCATACATATATTCCAGTAAAATTGTAATCCATTAGAGACAAAATAAGCGGAAGAACAGCTTCATTAAACAGTCTGCTAACATGAAATGTGTTTATGGCCCCAAAGGCAAGCATTTAAAAATTTAATTTAATTAATACATCATTCAACTTACACTTCAAGATCTGCAGCTGGGTGCCTCCTTTTTTATGAAGATACCCTGATTTGGTCACTCCTCCAGGCATTGTCAAAAGGTTTTGTGCTCCAATTGCCTTCATTGGGACTGGCCAGACCTGCTCCTGCAAGGCCATCGTTCTGCAATGTAGAATAATTGAAGACAGTTTAAAACTTAGATTTTACTTTAAGAAATGAGTACCAAGAAACAAAGCTTGTTTCCTTAAACAAGCTTTCCAAATAACTAACATGGTTCAAAAAAAAAGCAGTCAAGTATGTAGCACAGACGAGTGTTCATAGATTCCAGGAAGTTTGTAATGTATAAAAAACCATGGTGCAAAAAGTCCCAATTTATTTTTATACAGCTCTCAAAAGTGATTGACAGTTGTTGAAACAATGGAAGAGTGCTTAGTAAATGTTATTTAAGTATTTATATTTTAAAAATGCCTCAGATAATACTGTGAGACTTAGGCAGGTGACTAGAAAGACCATCAGCTTCTTCTCCAAAGTTCTATGCCACATCTGCATATACAACATAATTTTCTGTATAATGAGGGAATCAACAGTCCTATTTTAGTAACTGCAGTATCCCAATACTACTCACTCCATATATTTACAAGTTTTATTCTGAATGAAAGCATTAACATATAACCTCATACTGGATGTCATATGTGACAGCATCCTGTGCAAATGATGTTTGTCTCAGATTGCTGCAGACTGCCATTTAATTTATACATTGGTTATTAATGCCACGCTCCACGAAGCACCTTAGCAGTTACCACTCTTTCTGCTATCATCTTAAACAGGTTACCAAGAAAATTAGTTTCTTAGTAGTAGTTTTTTCTGTCTGACATATCACATATATCATATGAGACCTTCCTTTCTTCAACTGGTAACAGAACTAGGCTAAAAATCCTACTGTGTAATACAGAAAAGAAATCACGCACAAACTGAATAGGAAGTTTGACCTAGACACAAAATAGTCTTATCCTCAGGTGGAGGCCTAGAGACCTTTGCTGGTAAGAGGCAAACTAAAGAAGTTCCAGTTAATTAGTTTCTGATAAAGAAATGATAGTTTAGAACTGAAAAGCTTTTAGTGGAGGACTGAAATCTAATGGATCCTGTTTGCTTCTCCTTTCCCCACAAGGGACAGTAATGGAAGTCAATAGTGTAGCTCAGTACAGGAATCCAAGAGCCTACAGCACAACACACCTACCCCAGCACTACGTCTCTCCAGCCTAAGATGGCAGCTTGAAGTACCCATACTGAAAAGAATAAGCAAGCAATACAGTTTTGTTGAGGGATTAATTGCAACAGTAGAGTATGTATCCATTGTACGTGTGTTAGGAAAAACAGAAATGCAAGTCAATTGATCTTTCAGTGGACCAGCTTAGGATTTAGATCTAACTGCTTGCCCTTTGCTGATGATGCATGTGTGGGGAGGGATGGAAATTACTAACAATTTCTATCAGGAGAGTTTAAACTCAATTAAATTCTCTAGGCAGCCTAGAAAACTTAATTACTAATATTAGGTTTTGGTCCCCAGTGTCATAAAACAGGCACAAGCAAAGATAGGATCCAAGGCCCAAGAAAGGTTCTCACAGCAGACACTGCAAGGCACGATGGTTTCCCAGTTTTCTTCCAAGACCTTCCTGCCCACCAAAAGGTAAATTACTTTTGTTGTATTCAGCTATATCCTTCCTTCTGCTATTTCCTCCCTGTTCTTATTATATGATTGAGATCTTTCCAAGCTGAGTTGTTCCTTCCTCCTCCCCCACAATGAAATTTCTAGCAACAGCAATATGTTAACAGGTCCAAGAAGGGGCTACACACAGATATTTTAAGCTTTTAAGAATTAAAAAAAAAAGTAACAAAAGTTACACCACCACCACCGTCGCCCCCCCAACCCCCCTGCAGAACAGTCAAAGTGAAGGAAATGGAGAGCGTCAGCCAGCTGGCTGCTGACACCAAACCACACTGCAGTACTGCTAAGAGTGATTTCCTTGAAATGAGGAATGCAAAGGCAAGCCCTGGGCTAAATTGTTCTTTTAAGAACAGGCACATCAACATTCAAACATTAGAAATTAATTTATGATTAAGTTATTTCAGTCTGTTTCTAGTTACATTAAAAAAAAAGATTAAGTAAAAAATGAACCTTTTTATTCAGACAAATATACTCTGATCTCAGTTTTCTCGATCTAACTCTACCATTTGTCTCAATGCCATCCAACTGTTTCAAGTTCATCATGGGTCTTCAAATCCTGTGTGCTTTTACTACAAAGAACAGAACAAGAAAGGACTTAAGCACCTAGCCTTGGCTGTAAAACTGTTTCAGTGTTATTACTTAGGTTGAAAACCTATCAGAAGGGGCAGAGTTAAATGTCTCGGAGAGGTTATCCAAAACAATCATTAAGCTGAGATTTCTAGGAAGCCAATGACAAACACTGGGGACAAGGGTATCCCACCCTAGGTCAATTCAGAAAACAAATATTTGACTAGGTCATGCTGGCCTTCTGTGCAGGAATAGATTAGACTACTCATAAACTGTACCTGCATGGGGCACTTTCTCCTTCACCTGAAAAGCCCAAATATCAGGCAGACAGCAAAAAAAAACAACAAAAAAAACCCCAAACCAAACCAAACAAAAAAAAAAAAAAAAAAAAAAAAAAAAAAAAAAAAAAAAAACAAAACCCAAAAAAACCATGGAAGCAGAGGAGCAGGGCAGAGGGGGATCCAGTTCTACAGTGTGATGACTACAGGATTTAACTGAGGGGGAAAAGATGACAGAGTATCAGGTTCTGCTTCCTCTATTCACGATCATTTCTTACTTTTGACTACTCACTACAGAACAGTCCTGAGAACAGAGACCAAACCCCAGAACTTCCCCATCCCAGCTAAGTGAATAAAAGGAGATGTGACTGAACTCCACAGAACCAAGTACACATTATATGAGCTAAAGAGCCCACCTAATATACCGGGCTTTTCAATAGATTTAGAGGCTGCTATGTCTATTTTCTGGATCTCATTGTGGCTTATAGCACTCCCCATCACATCTGTAGGCTCCTCAAGCACTTTCATTTGCAGACACATTGCAGACACATAGGGAGGACTTTGATATTCTGAACTGTTTGAGTTAGGCCTCTAAAATCCATTTAAGTACTTTGAATCTAGTCCCAAGCAGATTTTCTTCTTTTCTTGACAGTACAAAATAATCTTGGAATGACACTAGATGCTATTTTGCATCAAGCTGCTGGGAGAAAGCTGTCAAAACAACGTAACCGCAGGATCTTTATTGTAGGGGTAGGAGAAAGGAAAAATGGATGCTCTTAAAGATTTTTCTGGTCTTAGCATCTACAATATGGTTGCCTTTAGCTCACTGAAATGGTTCCTCCCGCTTGTGATATTCATCTTATAATTCTTTTAATCCATTACATGAAGAACAGATCGATAGCAAGCACTGAAGTTACTGTACAGCCTGTTAGCTCCATAATCATTAAGAACAGAAAGATATTTCCAAGTTGTTCCTTATGCAGTCACATTCTTGCACTACAAGCCGAAGACCCCACTACACATTTTCACCCCAGGTGCATAAGCAGAGTCTCTTCCATGGAGCTGACAATGAAGTTAACAGAAAGGGCCCACTAAGTGCGATCGGAGCCAAGCCATCCTCTCTGATGTCGGTCCTCTGTTACAAACAGAAGGTGACATTACTCATGCGTTGTTTTGTGCAAGCTCCTAGTAATAGCTACACACTTTATTCTTCTTCCCACTCACCAAGGGACTAGATGCATATTTTTAAATTAAGTTTTCCATCAAGGCCCAAAACCCATTGTAAGTGGCTATTGAATCAACCTTCTCCCTCACCAAAACAGCACTGAACTGAACCCTCTGAACCAGAAGAGGATGGCAGCAGAGAGTGAAAGGCCTCTCATCACTGTTTCTCAGACGATCCCCATGATAATTCTATGCCTGTGAGGGAGATGATAGGCCTTAGAGTGCAGCAGGAGAAATGGTGCAACAGCAGTTTATAGGATTTGCTTCATCATTCAACAGTGCTTTTGGAAAGACAGAACAGTGCATTTAGCACTCTCGAGCATGATATGGAGCTTATACAATTACTATTGTAATTACTTCATATATACAAAACTGGTCTGCCAGACTACAAACCAAACCAATTTGCAGTGTATTGCTAATGTATCAATAAAGTCAGTCCAAGTCTATCACATGAGTATACTTTTCTCAAACACTATCACAATGAGCTGGTTTTTAAAGTACCATGAAAGTCACAAAGGCATGAAAAAAATGTGAAGTTACACACTTAATTTTATAACCTAGATAATGCCAGTATGATGCAGAAGTTTCTTCTGAATCGTAACAATACTGTTACCAAACTCACACTCCAAACAGAGAGTAGACTTCTGTTATTGTGGAGTATGCAAATGTATACATCTATCAAGTAATTTGCCACATTAAAAGTCTGGATTACATCATAGAAGAACACTTATGCCTTTTGGCCTTAAATGCTATTGATGTTCAGCCCAATTAAAGCAAATACAAGCTGATTCAACTAAGGATTGCATCCTGGAAGAGCCACGAGTCCTCAGTTCTTGCTTAACTTCAGCAGAACATATGGCAGATGTGATCATCTCCACATCTTGCAGTATATAGGCGTAAAAAACACATTACCCTCATCTTTGAAATTACAGCTGCCAAAAGTTGTATTAAAAATTCTCACTTGTTATAATAATATTTATGGTCTGCCCTGGAGCCCAGTTTGGTCATGCTGAAAACAAATAAAACACAGCCTCCAAAGTCGCAGTACAAAAATTAAACCTGATCTGAATTTGTAACAAGTATCTCTATGCCAATTAAGTCTGAGAACTTTTTGAACACCATAATATCTCATAACTTCTAGTCTTTAAATTCTATTGTGAAAGTAAAACCTAGCAAAGCAAGATGCTAGTTTCCTTCTGAATGTGTAACTTGCATATAACATTACATATATAACATATAACTTACAGAAATGAATGCATTCCTCATATAACGCAGAGGGAGACTGAAGTTTCAGTCTCTACAAAGGGCTTAACCAAAAATGAGGCAGCATTACATACAGCAAAACTGTAAAATAAAAGCTTCCCCCATGTGCTCTCAGCAATTCTGAACAAAAAACTAGTTCTCCGATTCAACCATCTAAACATTTACCATCTGTTCCTAAAACTGCTTTCTGCAAAATTTTCGTGTCTCTCTTTCCGAAATACTCTTCCACATCTCTCCTACTTTTTTGGTTACACATTCCATTTCTTAATACTTCTAACAGTCCCTTTCACAATAGTCTCTCAAAAGGATTAACAGCACAGTATAAACACTGCAAGGTCAAATAAATCTTACAGGACAAAGGGAACAGAGAACTGACTGAGATACACTGTTGTAAGTAAGTTTACTCAGTTTAACTTGTTTCAACTTGCTTTTCTTTTCTGGCAAACATTTTCAACCAACACTCGCCTCATCTCTTCTCCCTTCAATTCTTTACCCTTGAATTTTCTGCATGAGTTAAAAGTATTTTACTGCAGATACAATATTCTGCACTTAGTTTTAGTCCACTGTCTACCTAAAAGAGAGAAGATGACAGAAATACAAGCCACAAATACACACTAACCTGGTGACAGTCCCTGATCGACACATAGTTTTTCTGCTGACAGTTTCACCGAATGATTGTTTCCTTTGCGATGACAAAGCCATTAACAACTTATGGCCCCTCTCAGGCATGACAGGAACATCTCTGCACTTCTCCCCGTTTCGTGTATTATAAGGTTGAAAGTGACTGCGATAGCTGCGGTACGCTCAACACACAAAAGGAAAAGAAACCCTGCCCCAACCGCTTGTGCATCTGCACTGCGCTGTGGCCAAAAGGGACGCTGAGGCAATGACTTGTTTCCTCTGCTGCTTCCTGCTTCCCCCAGCGTTAGTGGGCAGCCCTGTCTTTGTCACATTTCCCAGCTGTCTGGGGAGGTTATAAATCAGACCCCGCATGCCTCAAACCTCTGTCAGCCAGAAAGCAGCGGGGATTTTCCAGTGGTCACTTGCTTCCTCCTCACCTTTCAATCAACTACTTTCCCTTGGGAGAAAAAGCAGCCCTTTTTTCTCACAGGGTATCGGGACTCTCACACCGGCAGAGGCACAGCTCAGAAACGCTGCCTGCGTGCCTGCAGAGCCTGCGCTTCGGGTACTGGCACTGCACCACAGAACTATGGTATTTCATCTCTCTTCTCTCCTGTAGCTGGAGCTTGTCCTTCCCTCTTCAACCCAAGAAATTAAAAATTGACGTTCTGAAAGACTATGCAGCATATACATGCTTTAGAGCAAGTCTTCCCTGTACATTTGACGTTACGCAAACCACAAAAGACAATAAAATTTGAATCCAAGAGGCTCACAACACAAGGTCAACAATTCTACAGGACAAGTATCACCAACTAATGATGCATACATGCCATTATTTTACACTTACTTTCCTCTGGAGCTCTTAAAAGGATTCAAGTGTTTCAATGACTTTGTCCAGAATTAACCAGCACCACGGGCTAGAAAGTCCAAATAAGACAAAAACAACTATCAAGTTTCAGAATGATAGACAAAGCCTGCATATGCGAATATGCCAAGTAAAGATTACTTCACATAAATGGACACGAATCTGTACTCCAAAATAGAAGGAAGACGTTTCTATGCAACATCTTTTCTTTTTGTAAACTACCCAACAGTCAAAGCCCAGAAGAAAATAACACTTCAGATACTGGCCATGGCTGTATCAGCTAGAAAAGCAATTCTCAGCCTTCACCATAGGGCACCCATTTGCACTCCTTCCCTAGCCAGGCTATTTAGGACAGGTAAGCAAACCATAAATACCACGCACCTGTTGTTAGCTAAAAGGATCAGCACATCAACACAAAATCCTGATGCTGTTTAACAAGAATCAATACCCAGTTGTTTCAGTGGCTTAATTAACAGAAACGATGTAGAGAGGACTACATCTCAGCACTTTGTGAATTAACTTGCTTTATCTGCTACAATATCAGTTACCAATTCAGACTTTAAGCGTTAACACACAATGCTTTAAAGCAGTCTTCCCTCCCTCAGTTCTCTGCTACCTAAGCAGACTCTTCTAAGTTTGCATTACCATCTTTGCAACCTTTATCTCTACCTCAGTAAAAAAGCTACAATCAAAATTGCACCATTTGAGTATACGTAACACTGGGAAAAAACCCCAGTTCCTCTTTCTCCCTTCTCTTCTCACACATCTAAATCTTGGCTTTCCCCTTCAAACGCCACACCTACAGTACCATGCTCTTTGGCCTCAACAGCCTTATTTTAATTACATCTCCTTTATCCAACACATGTTCCTGAAGTACTGCTTTTCCACTCTAACCTTTCTGATGCTATCCTCTCCCATTCTTCACTTAAGGACTCAGAAATACATTTTTCATTTCAAGTTCCAAGACCCCCTTTTGATTTTTTTGGTGATTTCCAGCACTGTCAAGATGGTCACAGAGTTATAACAGAAGCCATTTCACACATGCATGCACAGAAGCTGGTGTTCCACTGAGGAGCAACAAAAAAAAAAATTTTTGATGTTTCACAGTCTTGGAAGAATGAAAATTCAGCTTAACTTTCTAGACCAAACATTAATCAGAATGGTCGTGCTTCAAAATTGCAAATAGAGAGTCTGAAGAGACATGAAATCCTTATGGATTTGATTAACATGTCTGTTGGGGAAGTGAGAGAGTATTACATTTATCCTTCTTCACAAGGCAAAATTCAGTTTTGCAAAGAAGTGCGGTATATGGTTTTCAGACCACTAACCTTCATTTGTGTCCACAAAAATCAGTGGTGAGAAGCAGCCTTGCACCAAACTAGCCTAGGGAGAATTTCACTCAAAAGGAGCTACTGCATTTCTTTACCATCACGAGATTTCACTCAGATAGCTTTAATAGGAGGAACCAAAGCATCAGAAACCAACATTTGGATTTCATTCCAGCAGGGCCACTGTCTGAGGAAGTCAGCCAATCATCTCTGCCACCGTTGGGAACAGCTCTTGCTCCCAGTTAAAAGCAGTCCTACTTACCTTTAGTTAATGGCAAGCAAGAGCAATAAAATATACATCTAGCACTATGCTGTTCTTGCCAGTGTACGTTCACTAGTCTAGCTGATGGGTTGAGTTGCCTCTGCAGCAAGAGAACTTCCTCTTGCTGAACAATTTACAGGAAACTGCAAGAATGGACTGTAAATAAAAGCAGAAGAGCACAGCAGCAGGCGAGGCAGAAAAATTAACAAAGCAACAACAAAAGAATTTAAAATAGCGTAAAACCCACTTTCCTTCAGCTGCAGCAAGTCAGCTCAGTGGTCAAGTTCCACTCAGAATAATGTAAGAGTAGATAGATGATATATTTCCATAAAAGCTTACAGTATAGTAGGGCATTAAAGGCGGCCACATTCTGTTAAAGTTTTACTGACTTTAATGAACTTGAATCAGGAGTAGGTTATTATGAGTTTTATTATTTTATTAATTATACCAAACTAGTTTAGTCCCAAGTTCCTAGATCACAGTGGAAACACATCCACTATATTGAGAGATGATATATCTGTCAACTGTATACTCCATGACTGCAGACTGGAGAAGAGCAAGTGTAAATTACTCACCCGAATCCTTCATCTGCTAGGTAAGGCAGTTCCGTGAAAATGTGAATAACCATGCATCAGAATTACTTCTGCAGAATAATAATTAGGAAAAAAGAAAAAAACCAAACAGCAACAAAGGGGAGAAATGAGGCCAGAACTTCCAGAAATCATCTTTCAATGCCAAAAGAATTCCTGTTCTTTAAACTTCAACTGTCATTCTATCATTCAGCTTACTTGGGAAGAGCTGAAGAAGCCTTAATAACATATTTACGTTTACGTATATATATTTAAAAAAGTAGCTGAAGCCTTGATAATATATATTCAATCTAAAACTGAGAAACACTTCAGGTCAAAAAGCTTCTGAGTTTCTATTTATACCCCACTGCTCTTAAACTCTGAACATCTATGGACATATTGTTGGCTTGGAACTTCAAAAAAGCCAGCCAGCACTGGTCTGCAATAAATAAGCCATACTTCAGAGAAAGAGTGTATCAATTTTAACACAAAGTTGTAACTTTTCTTAGTTGTTTCACCAAACAGCTTGGCACAAGTCCTAGAAGATGACATACTGAGTTTGATTTGGGGATATGGTTAATGTCATATATTGCTCAAACGTCTGTAGACCAAAGTACAGCCACAAAGTATTTGCGACATATGCATAGCTTGTAAAAAACAAATTACGCTGTGCAGCTGGAAGAGAAGAACCTTCTGCAAACTCTCAATACAAGAACATTATCATTTAACAGATTCTCTTGCATCAGCTAGCCTTGAAAACTAACCTAAGCCTTCATACTGATGTAAATAAGGATTGAATTAAAATCAGTACAGCTATCATAACATAATTTTCTATGTTGGCAATTTTATTATGAGTAGCTTTTCAAGTTAAGTTTAAGGGATTGCTACTGAATCAAAAGGTCCCTCAAAACTGCATAGGAGCATTCAGCCAGCGAGTTAACTGGTGTCAAGTCTATGCCCGTCAGACCATACCAGTAACACTTGGTATAAGTAACACTTAAAATAGAAGGCAAGTTCTTAAAACATTTTTGCTGCTTATCATGTTTTTTTAAAATAAATTCAGACACATTACCAAGCTGAGACTTCCACTCTCATTTACTGTTCAAACCAGATGGACAGGTTGTTTGTTCCTTTTAACTGTTACCTATGTACAAGGTCCTTGTAAAAAAAGACTGTAAATGCAGCTATGGTTATGATTAACTGATATCTTCCATCAGTGCTTGTAGAACAATTTAAACTAGACCGTAGTTAAAAGAAAAAATCCCATAACTGAGCAGAAGTATAAACATGATTGCCAAAGTCCTGTTCCTGCAGACAGCTGTGCTGCTGACAGCTGCAAGGGGAGTTTCCCCAAATACACGTAGAGGCTTAAAGTGGGAGTTTCCACAAATTATTTATTTCCTTGGCTGAAGTTTGCAATTCTAAGATATTACAGTTGAAACAATTTTACTGCTAGGCTGGTTTGTGATGAACTGCATACAATTCCATCACTAACGTACTCATAATTGATAATTTAGGAAGCACTGTTGGACCACAAAATAATTTCTGCTTACATGTCAAAACACCTTTAAGCATTTAAGCTGGCAGACCATTGAACTTTAGTAAAAGCAACACATAAATAAAGGCTTTTAGAAATTTACAAGAGGGAGTCAAATATCCATTACTGATTATAAAGCATATCTGATAGGTACATTTAACCAGCAGACGTCTTGCCATATGAAGTTCAGTCTGTTGTTAGGAAATATTTTTTCTGCTTTCTTAGAATTTTACTTATATCAATTTAAAAAACATCAAGAGTCCAAGGGAAAAAAAAAAAAAGAAGAAAGGCAAAAAACCCACCTTAGAGGCCTATACTTATGTTCACTGTTTTCTACGTTTCCGATACTAAAGCATTTTGGCAAGACATACAACATAGAATCATAGAATCATTAAGGTTGGAAAGGACCTCTGAGATCATCGAGTCCAACCGTTAACCTAACTGCCTGGTCCACCTCTAAACCATGTCCCTAAGCACCACATCCACACGTTTTTTGAACACTTCCAGGGACTGTGATTGCCCCACTTCCCTGGGCATCCTGTTCCAA